TCCCCTCTCTCATCACCCTCCCTCCCTCCATCCTATCCCTTCTCCCCCCCTTTCCCTCCTCTCCCTCCTGTTCCTCCTGTTCCCTCCCCCGCCCGCCTGTGCCGACCTCCCATCTCCGCGGCGCGGCCGGGCACAAAGTAGATGCAGTCGGGGCGTTGGTTTGGGAATGCGCCCGGGAAGCTTCTGACCCTGGAGGGTTCCTTACTTGACGAAGGCGGCGATGACACCCATGGCCAATCCGCGATTGGAGTTCCACTGGCTTCCAGGCCCTGGATTCCTCATCGAATGGTTCCTTATCCAACGGCATCACCGTGTGTACGTATGTCCTGTCGGGAGGCGGCCGCGCCGGGCACCGACCCCGATCGCCTGGCAGGGGGGGGCGGCAGGACGAGGGCGGAGCATCGGCTGCCCGTACGAGTGGCCCTTCGCCTCGGTGGCCTTTGGTGGTCGGCCTTCAGTGGGGCGCGAAGGTGGTGGGCCGAACCTGGGCGCGCAGGTCGCTACAGCCAGGAAGCTGACATAGGGGCCACTTCACCGCAGCGGCAGGCCTCCGGCCTCCGGGCGACCCCCCTTTCCCGCCCCTGCGGCCTCCTGGAGGACCCCGCCGCGGCGGCGCACCCCGTCGACGTGGCGCTCAGCAGGTGCGGCTCTCACGACGCCGTTGCGTCAGGACAACCACCGCTGCTCCGTCCTCCCTCCTCCCTCCTCCCTCCTCCTCCTCCTCTTCCTCCTCATCCTCCTCCTCCTCCTCCTCCTCCTCCTCCTCCTCCTCCTTTTCCTTTTCCTTTCCCTCCTCCTCCTCCTCCTCCTCCTCCTCCTCCTCCTCCTCCTCCTCCTCCTCCTCCCCCTCCTCCTCCTCCCCCTCCTCCTCCCCCTCCTCCGCCCTCCCCCATAAACGTTCTCTTCCCCAGACACACTCTGGGGCGCGTTCTGCACGGAATCTCAAGGCGGACCCAGTTCTGGCCACGAGGGCGTCCCTGGGGGTCGCGTTCGATTATGTTGTTGCTTGTGTTGCTTCGATCCCCGAGGGGGCTTCTTAGTTCCGCTTTGTGCGGAGTCGGTCCCAGCGGCGGCCGCGTATGGTGCCACCGCAGTGTTTCGTACGTGATGTGATCTGTTTTCTCGGCGTGGCATTGCACACGTCTGCTGCCGCGTGTAGAGCTGTTTCGCGTGTGTGCTGTAACCGCCCGCACCTCCGCCTCGTGTGTCACGCCTGTTGCGCGCGCAATCAAGCGCAAGCTTGACAAATCGCACTGGCCTCACTGTGTTGCTCGGATGTCGCATCTCCTCTTCCTGTAAGCTTCCCAGATGGTGTCGGAGGACCGCGTTGCATCGCCCGATTGCGGCCACGCCGACGGCAGCGATGCGGTGCGTCCCTGCGACCCCATCTACTCGAACCTCAGTTGAGGCATCTCGCCTTCCCCCCTCGAAAAGTTACCTTGCGACGTACCCAATCCATCTGCACGAAGTGGAGGAGCTGGTCCAGAATACTATGGTTGATTAGAACGCATGGTCTCCCATTGCTTGTGCCAGGTGTATAGGAAGCGCGCGCGTTGCACGACGCACAGGACAGCAACATAAGGATGAAGGCTAAGGCCCTATACTCGAAGTGGAAATGGGGGGTAGGAGCGAGGGACAGAAAAGAGACGGAGGAGGATCCGAACAGCTAACGCAGCAGCAGCAGCAAAACGGTGGATGGAGGAAGAGGAGGACAGCGAACGAGGCAGGACGAGGAAGGAGTGTGGCGATCATTTCCCAGTGGCACGCTGGAAAAAAAAAAAACTAAAAAAAGCAGCGCAGCCCGCGCCATGTCGCCCTGGCGCTCCAGAGGACCAGGCGTGCACCGCGAGTGCAGAGAGCGAGCGAGGCCCACCTCGCCCGCAGGGTCCTCCGCTTCCTTCCTGCCCCTGCCGTGCGGGAGCTGGACGCCCGCAGGGCGCGCCAACAGGTCGCCGGGCGGCCCGCGGGAAGAGAAACCAAGGTCAAGGGCATAGAAAAACGCCCCTACGGTAGGGTTGCGTCGTGTCGACCAGCGGCGACCCCAGCGCGGGCGTTCAAGGTTGAACGCCGCCGGCGACCCAGAATCGATCGATATTGACGATCGGACATTGCGGCAGCGGCCGATCGTTCAAGGTTGAACGATCCCTGCGGTGTCAAAAACCAACGCTGGGGTCGGCACGACACGAACCTGCCGTACCCTGGTTTACGAGGCGCTGTGCGCTGAAACTCCTGTGGACTGACAGGGTCAACCCTGCGTGATGTGCCGCGTCCTGGCGGCTCTAGGCTTTGGGGTCCCCAGGAGGTTTACAGACCACGCACTTGCAACCCAGGGCAGGGTCGTTGTTCATCCCTCAACAAGGCGAACCTGAACACCACAGGACGTCACTATGCTGGACCCCCTGGCTGCCGTCGAAAATGGCAACAATGTCGCAGCGCGCAGCACCCCAGGGACTGCGAGATCGAACCTGCATCTGCGTAAGACGCCATCCCGCTGGACCCGCCCCAGCACCCTTCGGAAGTGGAGGCAGCTTCGCAGCTTGCAGCCCCCCAGGGATGGCAAGGCCTGGCCTGAGTACGCACAGGACGCCATTCCGCTGGGCCCCCCAGCAGCCCTCAAACGTGGCGAGTGTTTCGCAGTCCGCATCCCCCAGGGATGGCGAGGTCGAGCCTGGGTCAGCGCAGGACGTCATTATGCTGGACCCCCCCAACAGCTTTCGAAAGCGGCGACAGTTTCACGATTGCGAGGTCTGGTACTGATTTGCATGGACGTCACGGTTCTGGACCCCCAGCAGCCTTCGAAAGGGTGCCAGTTTCGCAGTTCGCATCCCCCAGGGATGGTCAGGTCGATTCTGGATTTGCGCAAGACGTCATTTTGCTGGACCCCCCACCATGCTTCGAAGGTGGCGACGGTTTCGCAGTTCGCAGCCCCCCAAGGATGAGTGGTCGAATCTGAATCTGCGTAGGACGTCACTATGCTAGACCCCCCAGTAGCCTTCGAAAGCGGCGAACGTTTCACAGATCGCAGCCCCCCAAGGATGGTGAGATCAACGGAATTTTCGTAGGACGCCAATGCGTTGGACCTCCCAGCAACCTTCAAAAAGGGCGACCGCTTCACTGATCGCAGCCCCCAAGGGATGGGTAAGGCCTGTTTGACTCTGCACAGGATGTCATTCTGTTGGGCCCCCCAGCGGCCGTCGAACGTGTCGACGGCCTCGCAGCTCGCATCCCCCAGGGAATGCGAGGCCTGATACGAATCTGCGCACGGCATCACTGTACTGGACCCTCCAGCAGAATTCAAAAATGGCGACAGGTTCGCATTTCGGCGCCCCCAGGGATGGTGAGGTTTGATATGGATCTGTGTAAGACGCCATTGTGTTGGACACCCAGCTACCCACGAACGTGGCGACAGCTTCGCAATTCGCATCCCCCAGGGATGGCGAGGCCGAAAAGGAGTCTGCGTAGGACGTCACTATGTTGGGCCCCCCAGCAGCAGCCCTCCAAACAGCAACGGTTTTGCAGGTCGCAGCCAGCCAGGGATTGCGTGGTTTATCCCGACTCTGCACAGGACGTCAATCTGTTGGACCCCCCAACAGCCTTAGAAAGTGGCGACAACTTCACAGATCGCAACCCCCCAGGGATGGGGAGGCCGAATCTGACTGTGCAGGGCGTCATTACGCTGGACCCCCCAGCAGCCTTCGAAAGTGGCGACCGTCTCGCAGCTCGACGCCCCGCAGGGATGGCTGTATCACGTAGGACGGCGATGCAGGAGGCAGGCTGGCAGACACGAAGGACCGAGGTGGGAGGCAGGACAGGAGAGGAGAAGAGGAGGGAGGCGGGACGGGGGACGGGGACCACAGCGCTTTGTCCAGCATGAGAACTCAACGCAGGAGGGCCAGGAAGAAACCCTTGCGTCCCCGCAGGAGGGCCGCCGCTCTCTCCGGAGGCGCAGGCAGCGGCGGAGGCGCAGCTCGCCGCCGCGGCGCAGAGGGTCGAGGCCATGCGGGGGGCGCCCATCGGGGAGCTGACGGACCCCGCCGGGCCTTCCGCGGCCCCCCTCGGCGGTCCCTCTCGGCGGCCCCTCCCGACGGCGACCGGCGGCCCTCAGCCTGAAATCCTGGTGTCTCGATGTTTGTTTGGTTGGGGGCCGGGCGTTTGCGCCAGGTTTCGGGCCCCGGGACTCTCACAGATCGATCTGTCTCGAAGAGTGGCGCGGAAGGGTAAGGTCCAGGGCTCCTGTAGTGATCTTCTAGGGTTTCTAGACTGTTCGCGCAGTCGGATCTCAGGGTACCCAGACATCCAACGATTTATCAACGTCAAGGCAGATTTTCTCATCGCGTTCGGCCTCTGGGGGCCTCCGGGCCCTGGGGCCGTCAGAAAACAGCTCGGGATGACAATCTTGCAAGGGTCGGGGATGTCTGGGGACCCCGTGTTGCACAAGTCAAGACTTCGAATGTCTGGGCACTGACATTGCTGCTCGTCTTGGAGGACCCTCGTCGCCGCGGCTGGATTCGCTTCGAAATCCTCGCCAGAATGCACCCCGGGATAGATCGATAGAGGAGGTATCGGTTCCTTTCTATCTCCCCGCATTCGGCGGCCGCTCTCGGTGGTCCCTCCGCGGCCGTGTGGCGGCCCATATGCATCCTCGTCTTCCTCTTCATCATCCTCCATTTCATCCTACTCCTCCTCATCATCATCATCATCATCAGCAGCATCATCGGAATCATCATCATCAGCATCATCATCATCCTCATCCTCCGCATCATCATTATCAACAGCAGCAGCTGCAGCATCATCAGCATCATCAACATCATCACCAGTATCATCAGCATCATCAGCATCGTCATCGTCATCAGCAGCATTATCATCATCATAACCATCATCAGCATCATCATCACCATCGTCATCATCATCTTTTCTATTCCAGCATTACCGGTGTGTTTCGTACACAGTGCACTTGCGTGTGTTTCGTAACCAGTCTGTTGGATGGAAACGGAGGTCATTCCATACTCTAGGGTTCACTGTTCACTATAACTTCTGGAGTTGCTGTCACCCTCTTCCTGTCCCCCTTCCCATCCTCCTTCCCGTTCTCCCTTCCCTCCCTCACCAAAACAGGCCCCGGGGCATCCGACTGGGTCCCCACCCCCGTCACCAAGGGGGACCACCAGGCGTTGGGGTTGTGGTCCAAGGCCCCTGGCCACGAAAAACGCCATATACCGGACACAGCCTCTTTGAGGACTGGCCTTGTGAGGCTCCGCCGCCTCTGAGGGCAAGTTCCAGGAGGAGGAGGAGGAGGAGAAGGAGGACAAGGAGGACAAGGAGGACAAGGAGGAGGAGGAGGAGGAGGAGGAGGAGGAGGGGGAGAAGGAGGGGGAGGAGGGGGAGGAGGAGGAGGAGGAGGAGGAGGAGGAGGGAGGAGGAGGAGGAGGAGGAGGAGGAGAAGGAGGAGAGGAGGAGGAGGGAGAATGAGGAGGAGGAAGAAGGAGGAGGAGGAGAGGAGAGGAGGAGAGAGAGAGGAGGAGGGAGGAGGGGAGGAGGAGGAGGGGGAGGTTCATGCATTACATCGTGCAGCGCCGGCGCCAAAGTGCAGGGAGAAGTGCAGGCAGGGGCGGCCGGCAGGGGGCGGGGGGAACACGGGGAGCAGGGCGCCGCAGACATGGGGCGGCCGCCAGCAGAGAAGGCGGGCACGGAGGCGGGGAGGGGGGCGGGTCCCAAACATGATCGCGTCGCAAAAAAAAAACAGGACGGGGGAGGTTTTTGGCCATTTTCGGCCCCTCGCCGGGCCTCGGGACCGTCAAAAAACGACTCGGGACGACAAGCCGGCCCCGGGGAAAGGGTCGGGATTTCCAGGGACGCCGTCCTGAAGAAATCAGGATGTCGCATGTCTGGGGGTGTGGCATCGTCGCCGATTGGGGGCGTCAAAGGCGACGGGGTGGAATCAGGCGATCGCAAACATGGATTGAGGGCGCGTGGATCAGCGACGGGTCCCGTTCCCAGGGGTGATTGCGGATTTCTGCCGCCGAACGAGGCGGCACCGGTCGCATTTTTGGGGAGGGCACCTCCCCCGATCCATGGATTTGGCGACCGCGCGCCTAATCCATGGATTGCCAATCCATGTTTGCGCGCCCCCGGTGGAAGCGCTGGCCGTCGGCGGTGGTGCTGGCGCTGACAGCAGTGGTGGCTGTCCTGGTCGGCGCTGGCGGTCTGTCGGCGGTGCCGGGTCGTGGTGGTCGGGCCGGCGGTCGGCGTGGTGGCCGCGGCGGTGGGCGAGGCGATGGTCGTGCTGATGGTGGCCGTGCTTCCGTCACGGGCGGTCGGCGCTGGCGATCGGCATCATCGTGGTTTCATTGCTCTGCGCATCTCGCGTCTCCGCTGTCGGTGCTCGGACTCCGTACAGCTGCAGTCTGCATGACGTGTTGCAGTACGACTGTTGCTGTCGTTTCCGGGTGGTGCTGCAACGCACTGTGGTGACCCCAATTGCTCGCGCAGTTTTCCCGTTGGCCCGTCGTTTCCGCGTGGGGGGCGCCAGCGTCCCGCCACGTGTACTTGCCCGGCGGCTCGCCCCGTCTTGTCCGGGAGTCCGCGGTTGGCCTCCAAGCGGATCCGAGTTGCCGCCCAATCGTGTCGGCGCAGCTCCGCATCCTATCGTCTCTTGCCCTCCTCCCCTCCTGTCTTGCTTATGTTCCTCGGGCATCAGCTGTACTTGAAGAGGCGTGAGGTTTTCGACAATTTGCCCCTAGCAGTATACACTCGCACGCTTGGGGTGAGGCTTTGCACTGGTTATTCCGCTTTCGGCTCTTCTAGGGTATGTGTGCAGGCACCACCGACTGCATTGCCAGTGAATGCCAGTTCACATTCGCGCGAGCTTCTTTTTGCATTAGCCCGTTGGCTACTCTCCTTCTTCGTCTACTCCTTCTTTCTCTCTCTCTCTCTCTCTGTCTATATTAATGTTATACCCATACGTGATATATATATATATATATATATATATATACATATATATGTATGTATACTGATCTGCACATTACGTATGCATCCTCTGTTGCGACCATTCACGTTCACTTGGCTCTGCTCGCGAGAGAAATTGTGCGAGCGCCGCTGATGAATCCCAGCGGGTGCACGCGCGTGCGCACGCGCGGGTCCCATCTCATTGTTTCTCTCTGCTCCGCGCCTGCGGTTTCGCTTCGCTCGGGAGGAAAGGGCGGTGACGGTCCGGCAGAAAAGTCGCTTGCCGGCCCCGAGGTTTGAGTTGGTCACCGGTCAATCGTTTTTGGGTTGCCTCCCTCTCGCGCATTCCTCCGCCCATATCTGCGTTGAACGAAAGAGCTGCCCCGATCCAGCCGTGCACCCCGAATCCCTCTGTTGACGTCCCCCGGGGTGCGGGAAAAGGCTTCCAAACCCCGCTCGTTCCACAAAAAGTGTCTCGGCGCGTTTCGGTTCGCCCGAGGTCTGGATCAGGGGCGAGCGGAGGGGTACTGGCCCAGGGCCTGCGGGGGGAAAGCATCGACCCCCAATCGCACACCCATCGCCAATCGGGGGCCAGGCCCCGGCCAGGAACGCGCGGTTGGAGGAGGAGGAGGAGGAGGAGGAGGAGGAGGAGGAAGAGGAGGAGGAGGATATCGGGGGCCCGTCGCCGATCTGTCGGCCATTCCAGGGCAACGCTCCCACCCGGAGCCAGGCCGCGCCCAGTCGTTGCCCTCAGGACGTGGCTTAGCCCAGTCTGCGTTCACCGCGCTCGGTTGCAACGATGGCGCGCAGCCTGCGTCGGCCCTCATGTCGGCGCCCGGTCGTTCGAAGGGCTCCCGTGGACAAGCGCACGCCGGCGCCAACCGAGGACTCCTGCGAGACCCCCGAGGCCGTGACTTCTTCACCGCGAGGGCACCTGCGAGGCTCCGACCACCGGGACTGGCTCTTCGCCCAGAGTCGTTTTTGACGGTCGGCCGAGGCAAGGCAAGGGTTCTGCAAATTCCCGTGCAGGCCACAGCTTGTGCAGAGGCTACCCAGGTGGCCTAGCGTTGCGAAACAACACACCATCATCATCATCATCATCATCATCATCATCATCATCATCATCATCATCATCATCATCATCATCATCATCATCATCATCATCATCATCATCATCATCACCATCACCATCACCACACCATCACCATCACCATCATCAGCATCAGCATCAGCATCAGCATCAGCATCAGCATCATCAACAGCAGCAGCATCAACCCCCTGGCGAGGGCCACTGGAGGCAGAAAGCAACCAAAAGACCTCACGACGCGAGGAGGTGCGGCTTTCGGGCCACAGCTCCAAGCTCCGGCGGCCGTGTGGGGCGCTCCGGGCACCCCAGGCGACGCGCCGCGTCCCGAGGCGCAGCTGCTGGAGAGCGTCCCGAGGCGAGAAAACACCCCAGGAACCATGAAGAAGCTGCTGGAGAGCGTCCCGAGGCGAGAAAACACCCCAGGAGCCATGAAGAAGCTGCTGGAGAGCGTCCCGAGGCGAGAAAACACCCCAGGAGCCATGAAGAAGCTGCTGGAGAGCGTCCCGAGGCGAGAAAACATCCCAGGAGCCATGACGACCTGCAACAAAACTCCAGCCGTGATTCTTTCACGGCGCGAGGATGCCAGGGTTCCCTGGATCATCGAGGAGGCCTCCCCCTGCCAGGCCTGTCAGGGTCCATTTCGATCCGAGCGATCCGATCCGATCTCGATTCTGGCCGGCCCGCTCCGATTCGATTCCGATGCTTCGACGATCCGGCGCGACCCGATTCTTGCATGGCGTGGTTGCGCATCCTGGCGCACCCCATCCGCTTGGATTTCGATTCCGTGCCGAAGCAGCCCGATCGGATGTTCGTGTCGATTCGATCCGATGTAGCAGTTCGATGTGGGCTGATCCTTCCTATGCGGCCGAGGACCTCGGGGTGCTGGTGCCCACCTACGAGTGGGCCAGGGTGCCCGCGCTGGCAACCCTGCCGCCTGGCCTCGAGGTCAGGGCCTGCGGGGGACGAGGGCGGGGGGCCAGGGGGAGGGAGGGAGGGAGGGAGGGAGGGAGGGAGGAGGAGGAGGAGGAGGAGGAGGAGGTTTCATATTACTCCTCCTCCTCCCCCTCTCCTCCTCCTTCTGGTCCTCCTCCTCGTCCTCTTCCACCACCTCCTCCTCCTTGAGGAAGGGAGGGAGGGAGGGAGGAGAAGAGGACGGGGAGAGGAGGGCGAGATGGACGAGAAGGAAGAGGATGCGATGAGCAGGAGAAGTAGGGGGAGGAGGGGCAGGAGAAGGACGAGAAGGAGGTGGAGAAGCTGGAGGACGAGGGGGAGGAGGAAAAGGAGGAGGAGGGGGAAGGAGGAGGAGGAGACGACCCGAGGTCTGGATGCCCCTGGACGAGACGAAGTGTGCGAGGATACCCTCCACGTGGCGCCTGCAGGTCATCGCAGAGGGGCAGTGCGATGCGTTCCGCTGCGACGTGGAGGAGCACACGCCTGTGGAAGAGGTGCAGAGGCACGGGACCTTCTCCTCCCCCGTCCTCCCCATTTCCCTCGAGAGGCCATTCGGGCACAGCAGCGGTTTCCATTATCGAGAACGGGCATCGCAAAGACGACGTTCAGAAGTCCCCAAGTGGCACGACTGGTGTGACAAGTAGACTTCCAGCAGCTACCTGACCTGCCCCCCGCCGTCCCTTTTTTCCCACACTCTTCTAATACGCGTGCCATCTCGTATTTTCCCAGACAGCACCTGCAGCGGCTAGTTGCATTGCTGCGGTATAAACCATAGATGTGCACGCAGACCAATCTACACTCCAGCAACACATGCACGCATATACATGGATTGCATCTATACGCATGCAAACGTGCGTGCATACAGCTACGCGCTTGCGAGCACACCGATATACGTCTAGTCGTGCTGCTCCTGACCGCGAGCGGCACAAAGTGCTTCCCGCGCACCAGCGCCGAGGCCAGCAACAACAACGGTGGCGCGGACACACGACACATGAGGGGGAGGAGGAGGAGGAGGAGAGGGGGAGGAAAAGGAGGGAGAGGAGGAGGTGGATGAGGAGGAGGAGGAGGAGGAGGAGGAGGAGGAGGAGGAGGAGGAGGAGGAGGAGGAGGAGGAGGAGGAGGAGGAGGGGGGGGAGGGGAAGGAGGGGAAGGGGGAGGAGGTCTTCGCCTTCGAGGACTGAAGGAGTTGCCACCTCTTCCTCGGCGGGAGGCCGGCGTGGCGTAAAAGATAGAGGTGGCCCCGCCGGCGGGAAGCGTCGGGAGCTTGGCGGAAGCCGGCGGAAGGAAAAGAGACGCCCCCAAGAGATGGCAACATTTGTTGGTTCGGGGTTTCTGTCTGCACGCACGAAATGGGTACTGAAAGAATGGGTACAATGCCCAACAGCGGATCTCGTTCATTTTGAGCAGGGCTCGCTGTCCACGCCGCCGCGGCCCGTGTCCATTCGAGACAGGAGGCCGCCTGCCCAACAGCGGCCGCTGTTGGTTTGGAACAACATTTGCTGTTGGGCATTGTACCCATTTTTTCGGTACCCATTTCGGACGTCCAAATTCTGGAATCGGCCATGCGGCAGCATGCGAGGAGTGCCACCAGTGGCACAGACGCCTTGAGCTGCACTTGCCATGGTTCGGTCTGCTGCTCCAGACTGCCGGAATGAAACCACACGCTTCCCAAGGGGGGCGGCAGCCCGCTTCGGCTGGGAGGTGGAGAATTTGGTCCTGCTCGTCGACGGCGGCCCACTGGAGTGGACGGAGAGCACCACCGTGGGCACGGCGACCTTGTTCGGGCGGAAGCTGACCGCCCGTAGGCAGGCCTGAAAGGATCGGCCCGGGCGGCGCCCGCGCGGTGCCCTTGCCGACGCTGCCCTGTCGCCTACAAAAGAGACGTCCCCCGAGATCCGGGCGCTGCAGGTGTTCCAACCCCGCGCGGTCTCGCCCGGCTCGGGGCCCCGGGACCATCACGGATCGATCTGGCTCGAAAAATGCCGCGAAGACTTTGGCCCTAGGGCTCGGGCCGCGATGTTTCGCGGCGTGGCAATGATTTGGAACAGCGGATCTCAGGGCCCCTCTCCCCTCCCCAATCGGCCTCCCCTCGAAGTCCGGGGCGGGGGCACAGGGAAGGGGGTGCGGCGGCCCCTCGAGCTTCCCAGGGGAGTCTCGGGGGGGCGGGGGATTGTCAGTGGGATGTGTGCTTCCAGGGAGGGGTGGTCGACCGATGTTCCCAAAATCTGTTGGACGGGTACCACCCTGCCTCGCCAGGGCAGCCGCTCGCCGCGCGACTCCGCCAGGGTGGCTCAACCATCATAGTCCTCCTCCTCCTCATGTTTTCTCCTCCTCCCTCCTCCTTCCCCTCCTCAGGCCCGAGCCGGCCATAGCCGCAACTGTGTTGCCCCTTTCAGCTCACATTGTCAGCCGGCTTGAGCCCATGCGCGTCGCCTCGGCAAACTGGCCACCAGCTCCCTACGGCGACCACGTCGCGCCTCCACTGCCGCTGATGCTGCCTCCCTGCGCCCCTGGCACCAGCAGGGCAGCTGGTGGTTCCGCCCTTGCCCCTGGCGCTGTTCGCTGGTGCTCCCAAGCGTGCTCCGCCACCAGTGCCACCACCGCCACCAGCGCCTCCGCCACCCGGGCCGCCGCAGGCTGGGCTGCACCAGCCGTTGGCCTGGTCGCCCGCAGCCTCTGGCGCTGTTCGCTGGTGCTCCCAAGCGTGCTCCGCCACCAGTGCCACCACCGCCACCAGCGCCTCCGCCACCTGGGCCGCCGCAGGCTGGGCTGCACCAGCCCTGGGCCTGGCCGCCCGCAGGGGCTGCCCCTGGCGTGAACGGGGCCGCCCCTGATGGGGCCGCCTCCGCTTGCGCCGCCGCCCCTTGGGCCACCTGGGGAACCACCGCCGCTGCCTGCACCACCGCCGCCTTGGGCTCCTGCGCCGCCTGCGCCCTGGCCGCCGCCTCCTCGAACGGATGGGTCTTCTGGCCGCATGCAAAGGGCAGCGTGCCCGCCCCTTGCAGCTCCGGCCCCTCGACACTCCGAAGCACCTGCTGGTCCTCGCCGCCTCAGTCGATAGTCTCGCGCTACTGCTCAAGTCCCCTGTGATGCTGGCACAACTCAGGACGCCCATGACGCACGCGGTACTCGCGCAGTGAAGCCGGCCTTGCTGCCCGTCGCTACCGTGCGGCACCCGCAGACCATGCGCAGCCTCCCCATCACAGCAGCGACCGCACCGTTGCTAGGTCAGCTCTGCATTCCACTCGTGCCTCCGCCCCTGCTTCGAGGGGGCGCCCGCGCGCCGGCTCTCGGTCGTCTTCCCGCGATGTGGAGAAGAAGAGGTCTTCCTCCTCCTCCTCCTCCTCCTCCTCCTCCTCCTCCTCCTCCTCCTCCTCCTCCTCCTCCTCCACCAGCCCCCTCGCCTGCCACGATGCGGCGCCCCCCTTTCCGTCCCAGGCCCCCCAGCAGGACTTCAGGAGACATCGAGGCGCAGCTCGGAGCGACCGAGCCGCGGTCGCGCGGCCGTGGCTCTCCCTCGCCACGCCTGCATCCTCAGCCAGGAGGGTGGCCCTTCCGAAAGTCGGCGACCACTCTTGCCGCTGTTCGAGGCGCGTGCTCCAGCACAGCACAAGCCCGGAGGTGATCCTGATTCCGTCCTCTCCGCGCGCAGGAATGGACACTCTTCCGGTGAGGCGGCGGCGACTGGAGCAGGATCAGCCCGCGGATCGTCGCCCACATTTGGGCGAGCAACAGTCACCCGAGGCTTCCACCCGCCCCTCGAGCGAATTCGATCCTGCCTCTATGAGCCTTCCGCGCTTCGCGACATGCCACGCCTACAGTTAAAAAGCATGGTGAGGATACGCTGATGTATCAAGGCTCCCCTTGGATCCCTTCTTCTCCAGCTCATCCTAAGGCAATGAGACGGCATGTGGCGTGGCTGTCGTTCGTGCTGGGCTGTCGCTCGAGAGGATTTATCTGTGCTGGGCTGTCGTTCGCGCTGGGCTGTCGTTCGCGCAGGTGGTGTCGTTGGCTATCGCTCGAGAGGATGTATTCGCAGCCTGTGCTGGACCTAGTACGTGGCGCCAGAAGAAGGAGCCAGTGGGTCAAATTGGCCCGCCCGGCGCCCCCTGGCCTTCCCAGCCGTCGAGCGGATTGCGCTTGCAGCGCTCCGCGCTTCAATCGGGCCTCTTCGGCGTGGGTCGCCCCCCTTCGTCCTCCCTGCGCTGGCGAGCGCCTCCTGGCCTCCCCTGCGCGTCGCGCCGAGGCGTGGTGGCTCAGAGCCCGTGGCGCGACGCGCTGAGCCAGGGCCCCCTGGACCGCACTCCAGCGAGGCCCCCCCGAGGGCACAGCCTTGGAGAGCCGCGCGTCGAAGCCCTCCACCCGGGCCTGCGGCGCCGCGTGGGTTGGGGGGCGGGGGGGGAGGAGGAGGAGGAGGAGGAGGAGGAGGAGGAGGAGGAGGAGGAGGAGGAGGAGGAGGAGGAGGAGGAGGAGGAGAAAAGGAGGAGGAGGAGGAGGAGCAGGAGGAGGATAAGGCCTACGAGACGGAGTACGGCGCGCTCACGCGTCCAGGATTTGTCTGCCGCGCCTGCGGACCAGCACCGCTACAGTGCTGGCCTTTTCTCGGCGCCCGTCACCACGCCAGCACTACCCCGGCGCTTCCTCGCGTGATCGCACGCCCGCGTAGGGCGCTCCTTTCCGCTTCTCCGTGGCTTCGCGCAGTCTGTTCGCTCCAGGCGCTCGCCTAGCGATTTGCCTGCCCCCCTCCCTTCCGTTTTGCATGTTGCCTCTCCCTCTGCCCGCTCGCCGTTGCGTCCTGCAGCTTCGCGCATAGGCCTGGTCCAGCGCCGTGCATTCTTTTCTGTCTCGGTGCAGTCGATGAGCGTGTCCAAGACCCGACTATGGACTTAGAGGCCTGGCGTTTCCCCGCTCTCTTGTGGGGTCGCCCCCTTACGCCTCCTGAATGTGTTGTACACTGCTGCTGTAGACGTTCCGACGCCAGCTTGCCACACCGCCTCTCGCCAAGCTCCTCGTCGCCAACACACAACCCATTCTCCTCCCTCCTCCTCGTCCGTCCTCCTTCCTTCCTCCTTGCCCTCCTGTTTTCTCCTCTTACTCCTCCTCCCTTCCTCCACCGCTTCCCCCTTCCATCGGTACTGGCGCTCATCCCTCTTCCTCCCTCCTCCCTCGTCCTCCTCCTCCTCCTCCTCCTCCTCCTCCTCCTCCTCCTCCTCCTCCTCCTACTACTTCCCTTCCTCCTCCTCCTCCGTCCCGTTCCGTTCCCTGTGTTTGCGACTGCGAAGGAACCCGCAGCTGTTACATGAAGCCTGCGGTGGCGCAGGCGCCCTCTAATGTTCGGGCTCAATTGTGGACCAGAGTCCACTCGAGAGAAAATGTCGTCCTCGCCCTTTCCTTCATGTCAAGGGCCACGCGACCTCACAGGATCTCGATGCTGGATAGATCTTGCCGTTCCACAGCCTGGGGAACTCTCAGGCGGATGAGTGCGATAAGAAAGGAGCGTTGCAGGCCAGAGCTGTTGATGTTGATGTGCATACTTCGGAAGGTGTTCGGGCGGTTGGCAAACAAGTTGCTAAGCAAGTTGCTCGTTGCACAGCGACGGCAGCAGACACGGGCCAGCGTGATCATCGTAGTGTGATCACTTGAGCTTTGGGGACCTGGGTGAGCGGCCGGGACCCCGAGGCCCCTGCCGTGCCCGACGATCCTGCTGCTGTGGACCTCCCTCCTATTGCTGCTGCCTCCTTCTTCCAGTGAAGGGGCTTCGGCGGGGGCCCGAGGGGAGGCCGCCACGGCCCAGGGTTTGCTCCGACAAGGGCCCCTGGAAAATAAGCGAGCACTGCGCTCTGGAGGCCCGGGTCCCTGGAGGGGACCTGGTCTTGTTTTGCCCCTCGCGCTGGCGCCGCGCGGCTCGCCGACCCCAGAGGGGCCTCAAAGGGGCCATGCGGAGGCCCCCGAAAGCTTCTGGGAGGAACCACGGCACCAGGCTGCGCTCCTACGAGGACGCGGCTCCAGATGGCCGTTCCTGCGGCTACGCCGCCACGCTGCAGCTGCAGCTCGGCGGCTACTTCGCCGACGAGCAGCCCGACCCATCGCGGCCGCGCAGCGAGCCGCCGTGCCCAACCAGGCGCACGCAAGGTCATCTTCGACCAAGGCCAACTCAGGTTACGAGGTCGCCAAGCGGGCATCATACGGAAGACCACTGGCTCGGTCTCCAACGCCCCGGAGATCGCCGAGCAGTTCGCGAACCTCAAGTGCACAAACCAGCGCGCCCACGCGCGCGTCGAGGGCCACGCGTCAACGCCCGAAATCTGGCCATGGAAGATGGCCGAACGGCTTGTCCAGGGCATCGTGGCCCTACGCCGACGCCCGAGACGCCCGCGCATGGCGAACTATGTTCGCGAATGCGGCATCGACGCGGCAACGTTCTCAACGGTGGCCCCAGGAGCCACAGAGGAAGACATCCGGAGCGCCATGGCCGCTGAGCGCGCGCGCGCTACACACGCAAGGCGCGCCGACGCAATATGCGATCAGATTCGCCTGCGCGCTCCCGAGATCCGGCCACTTGCAGGCATCCTCACAGTGCCCCCATACACTGGGAATGCCCAGGCTGCCGCGAGGAAGAGGAGCGCGACCATCCAGCGCACGCCCGCGAGTTCCGCAAGTGCAGGTTCGCGAATCCTCACACACCGCCGCGCCCACGTAAGGGTCACCACCCACGAGCACCAGCGCGACCTGGACGACCGCGCCCAACCGGCGATCAACAGACTCAACTACCTGGAGGCGCCGACTTTGGAGCAAGAGACGAGGCAGCATTGCTACTGGCACCATCCAGTACACCAGGAGCCAGCTCATCCTCCAGTGCTGGAGCTCAGGGCAGCGGATCCGGCAACTGCGTTGCCGGTCCACGACTACGAGCCACTCCAGCAACCGGCACAGCACCGAGACGGGCAGCAACACGAGCTGCCGACGCCGCCGCAGGCAACCCAACGCCTGCAGACTGGACTCGTCTTGATATCACCACGTCACCACAAACACTACGTGGCG